CTACTGAAGAAACAAAGTCACCTACATCTTGGATGCCCTGGGGGTAAGCAGATAAACATCACATTTGCATTTTTGGGTGAACTATCCCTTTAAGTAATCTTGTTGTGTGCATTTGTCCTTTTTTAATATGTCTATATAGTTTATCTAATTTACATTTTAGTTTTAGTCAAGTTAAAGTAAATGAAAATGAAGAATGTTTCTTTGGCAACTAGCTGATTAATTATTATACTATTATTATTATTTTTATTTTTTTTTCAGTTAAAATTATATTTAATTCAGGTAACAAAAACGTTTTTAATGGTTTTCGTTTTATTTAACTAATAATAATTCAGTTTCCTAATAATTTAGTTTACTAATAAATACACTTAATACAAAGTCAGTATATTTTAATATTTTGCTTTGGTTTCAATACAGTAACAATATAAAAGCCAATTATTTAATTTTGCAAACACGCTATCTTGTATAGCGTCTTTATTCATTTTTTTTACACTGTATAAATGAGAATATTTTAGATCATAATTGGGGGTCTAGTTGGCGTCAAACATTTTGCTAATGAATGACTGCAGTGTACAAAGAAGAAGAAAAAAATCAGTGGAAAAACAGAAAAGGTCCTGGTAAATTCCGGCCAGGACTTTATCTGTTAAGTTCACAATTCCTTCAATCCACAAAACACAATACGTTATTCAAAATTTGGGTATAACAACTGTGAAAAACAAGTACAGAAAATTCCTTCATATTAACTCGATACATTGGGCCCTAGTTTTCTCTCCATCTGCAACAATCAGTGCAAACATTTTGGTGTTTGCCGAAAGCAAAGAATCTCTGCACAGGACAATCCAGAATGACTGTCATAATCTAACATAATTTTATTATTCTACCGTCAGGAGAAATATGAAGGCTAAAGCTTTCGGTAAAAGAAAATATATATGAGCACTACCTGCAATTGAGTAAATTATGAAAATGTTACACCCTGTAAAAAATTATTGTGATTTTAACAGTAAAAGACTGTAAAAATGCTACAGTAAAAACCTGTTAACTGGTTAACAGTAAGTTTCCATACTATATTCGGTGAATAAATGTAATTACATTTAATGTAATTTTACAGTAAAATACTGTTAAAAATACGGTTTTTGGAAGTGAAAAAGAAAAAGTCATTGTAAAATTTACAGTGAAAAACCGTAAATTGACACTCCCAGAATTCCCTGCATGACACTTCATATTTGATGTTTTTTTGTTGAAATAACATGTTTCTTAGTTTTTTCTTATCAGTTGTGTACATTAGGGTTTAATCTTACATCTAATGTGTAACATTATTTCAGTATCATGTGTGTCACCATGATGGGGTTTAGTGTTTGTGTGAATGACACTGTGTGCACCTTTTATATATAAGTATTGCCCTCCTCAGCTCGTAAAAAAGCTGTTTGTGATGAGCTTTGGTTCATCATGTGACTTTCTCATCACCACCCGTTTTTGGTGGTTATCAGTGCATTACAATGGTTCAAAACAGATATTAACACTTCAATATGTTGGTTTATTAACATTACATCAGTTAATGAAATACGGTATTTTATTGTGAATTTAAGTTAAGTCTGTAAAACCTAAAATGTTGCTACCATATTTTTTATGGTGAAGTTCTGGCAACCACAGCTGCCGGTATTTTACTGTAAATGTTACAGATTTTTTTTTTTTTACAGTGCATGGTGAGTGATGTCCGAGTCTAAAATAAGCTTTCTCTTGGGAGTGGATTATCGTAGATCTCCTTGTAGATGACTGTCAGCTTCACTGGTACAATAGTGAGCAGGTGAGCTGTTAGAAGAACAACTGGGCTCCATTAATTCAAGGTACCCTAGGTAGTGTAGACTAGAATCTATGCTAAGCCGTCTAAATTAGCAGGATCAGCCTTGGCAACCACGTTTGACAAACACTCCCATGAGTGAAGCTGCAGAACCAGGAGCACCTGTTTTCAATCTCCACACAATCCCAAAGGTGACACCAAAAGTGCTAACTTAGCTTATTCTCTCACCTAATGATCTAGCAAACTAACTCCCATGGTGCTCTGCCTAAAAAAAAAAACCTGCTCAAAAGACAGATGAATATCTGTTTAGGTTAGTGCTTGTTTGGTACCATCACACTGGCACCAGCATAGCCATGATGAAAAAAATGCTGCTTATCAACTAGCTCCATCATTCTGTTTTGGGAGGTATCTTCAGGCACAAAGATTGCTTGCAAGTCATTGTCTGAGCAGCGAGGAAACAAGTCAGCTGCCTAAGTTTTGGACACAGCCTTCATGTAAACATGCAGTTTTTGGACTGGCCACCGCAAACTCTGCCAATTGCCAAAAGTGGCATTACGTCACAAAAGTGTGCACTCAGAGGAAGACCACAAGGG